GTTGGGAAAGGTAAGAAGAGCCTTACCAAAGGCATTGGCTGTGACATTATCTGGCATTATGAGAACCATAAGTTGACTGTATTGTTCCAGGTTTAATCCTTGTATGAGAGTGCTTCATCATTATGTGTATTGACTAAAGCAAATGTGGCTTTTGTTCCCTTGCCTTGTCATTGTGCTTTTCCTTTGTTCCAATTTGGTGAGTATCCAACAAGTTCAAAGCAACGATCTCGTGTATACCCAGGTTTCTTGCAATGCTCACATTTCACCTTAGGCTTGGTCTGGGTATTAGATATCCAATGGTTCTTGGAAAAATTTGCAAAGAGTGTTGTTCTGGCATCAAGATCTGTATTGAACGGTGTATTGACAACAACAAGGTGTTTTTCTTCTTAGACTGCTAGAGTGTATGCTCTATTGATGTAGTATAGCAAAGGATCCGATCCAAGAATATTGGATCTAACAATGTTGAAGATATCACTGAGTCCCATGAGAAACCGATGCAACTTCCAGTCTTCTCGCATGGCCACAAATTGTTTAGCTGCTTTGCAAGTGCACTCAGGCACAAGAACCAGTGCTTGGAGCTCGTCCCATAGGGCCTTCAATTTGGTGAACTAAGCTGCTACCAAAAGATTTCCTTGTTGTAACGTTGTAATGTTTTTCTTGAGCTGGTAGGTTCTTGGCACAATCTTCTGCGAGAACCTCTTCAAGATCTTTCCAGATTTTACTTGTCGTGTCTGCGTAGACAACACTGTCATGGATTTCACACACCAATGAATTAAAAATCCAAGAAATCAACACTGAATTGCATTTGATCCAAAGTGATTATTGCGGTGATCCTACATCGGGCCTTGGCAATGAGCCATCAACAAAGCAATACTTGTTTTTGTCTCTTTAAGGCATTTATCGTCGTACATTGCCAGGTCAAGTAGTTATCTCCATTGAGTGGACAAGATACCAACAGAGTCCTTAGAGTATCCGAGGTATGCAAGCAGGTGAATCGTGATCCAATTCCATCGCAAGAAAGCTAGATGAAATATAGAAGCCCATAATGGCTTTGATACCATATAAAATGATACAAAACTCACAAAAAATAGAGCACAACTTGCATTGAAGAAACAAACTTGCTGAGGAAAAAGTCAGTCTCATTCATACTTTTACTTGTCGAATGATGACGCCTATAAATACATACGCGATGAGGTCAATACAACTGCAATGAACTCTTAAAAATGATCACGCGGTGAATGCCTTTGGGTTGTGAGTTTGGCTTTCCAGAATATTCAAACTTTCTTTAATAGAATCATATTCTCTTAACATCTCTCGAGAATGCGACTGTGGAAATCGTTGAGACTAAGGGGCTCGTTCTTTGCAATTGGAGTGAAAGGCTCCACTTTGCAAAAGCGGTAGAAGAAATAAACAATAGTGTCATTGTCTGTATCTCTAGAGAGAATATTGTCCACTTAATGTGTGGGCCCATGTAGCTAAAAACGTGTGTGTGAAACAAGGGCAAAAATTAGCACTTGTGGGAAAAGTAGTTCACCAAATATCCCACCCTAATAAGTACTTAAAATACATAATAAATGGTTTGACAAATAAATCACCAAACAACATTAAGTGGTTGTTTAAATAAGTACTTAAAATAAACACTTGTACAACAGGTGCTTATTTCTCAAACCACTTATATCACCAAACATAGCCTAATAAAAAACTAAAAAGCCAAAAAATTGAACCGAATATACATGGGTCCATTTGGTTCACCAGAATAGCGGTCTGGACTCAAAATTGGATTGGGCCATTATGATTTCAATTGTTTGGTTGGGCAGAATGCGAACCCCATTCCCATTCCTAGTGGAATGGCCCCCATTTGAGGGAATGGTCATCCCCCCCGGGAATGAAATTCCATTCTAGTTGGAATTGAAATAGATCATTCCAATTCCAATTTTGACTCCAAACCAAACAGGCCCTACATATATTATATACTATACATATTTTTAATGTGTTATGTACATTTATAGTATGACTTATTTATAATATATTTATATACTCCTACAACCAAGTTAAACCCTTGCTTCAAATAAAGCAACTTGTCTTGCACCACTAATCCTATGTGAAGTCCCCTAGATGTTTGATTGGCATGTCGTCTCTTACCAAATTGGACTAGAAAAAACCAGTTTAGTTACCATTTAAGGAGTCTAGGTTGACTACCCATAACATCATGTTTTTTTTTCTAGGGGTGGGGGGTGGTCTTTATTTTTATAGTAATAGTTTAAATTTATTATATTATGTTATGTTATATAATATAATTACATATAAAATAATAGCTCGATGGATGTTCTATTTTAACTTTGTACTTGTATAAGTTCAAGTTACATCATTTATATTTGAATATAAAAAGTAAAACATGAATATAACGGGTCTTTAGTGAAATGCCCTCTTATAATTCATGGATTTATTAGAAACACCCCCTATAGTTTGCAATTGATTTACTTAATCAATCTTTCATTAGATGATAGTAGAAAATAATAATTTTGACCCTAATTTCTATTTGAATAATTTTAATCAAAATAAATAAAATAAAAATATAATTTTTACCCTTAGTAAGATGGGAGCAAACACTCTATTTGGCTCTATTTGGTCAATTTTATTCCCTATACAAATGTGTGTTAGGGGTAGTCTAATTTTAGAAAAAAAAATGATAATGGAACTATTGCCTTGAATATTTTCCACTAAGTTTAGGTGATAAATGAAAAAAATAAAACACTTCTTAGTGAAAGGTCTGTTAAGTAAATAGGTTGCAAACTTTAGGGAATGCTTTAGTAAAATGAAAACCACAAGGTAGGTTTAAGCAAATCTATAGGGGGGTTTTAATAAATGACCCAATATAATATGATAGAAAATACAAGTATGCATAAAGTAGTACTGCCCTTGAAAGTCCACCACTTGTTCTTTCAATGCCCGACCACTAAATTAGTGGGGTTTGCCTCATCCTTGACTCTGAGAGTTGACTATCGTTTACAATAGACCTTGTTTGATCGGTTGTAAAGTTGTTTCAAGCAAGACAGCTTAAACGAGCACTTAGAAAGTTTTTTGACACCTGTCCCTTAAAATACCCCCAGCCTACCCTTGAAAAAGATTAATACCCACTTTTGACAGTTGTCAAAATATTTATCAGGTGCTTATTCAGCATGCTTACTTTGTTGTGCCTACTAGATCCGGTAATGCTCTTGATTTGTTTTCCTTATCAGTTTTTGTTGGTTGCTCTATTTTATGGCACCTTTGAAGACAAGATGTAAAGCCTTCATTGAGAAGAGGCCTTTTCAACCCCTTTTATGGCCTCTATTGCTCAAGCTCAAATGGCCAAAACTGAACTGCATATATCCCTCTCATTACTGAGGTGCATAATGTTAACATCAGATCATGGTCTAAACCTCCACCTCTGTTGGTTAAGTCAATTTTCATGGTGTCTTATCTTTGTCCTCTACCAGTGGGCATTGTAATTCGAGATCATAATGGCTATTTCTGTTATGGTTGTGCTCTGAAGGTTCTAGTTGGTAACCATGCGCTCATATATAGAGGCTAAAGCATCACTTGAAAGTCTACGATTAGCCAAAGCTGTTGGTGCAACTTTTCTTATCTTTGAGGGAGGTTCACTTATTGTCATCAATTGTCTGTTGGTAAGGGTGTCAATGGACCGGTTTTGGATTGAACCCTATCCAGTCCAAAATCAATTTGGACGGATTGAATGGAGCAACAAAACATATTGGATTAGACCAATCTGGTCCAAAATATTTATTAAATGGACTGGACCTAGTCCATCCATAATAAATTTATATTGGATTAAGCTAAAACCTGGTCCATTGATATAAGACAAGAATATAGGTGTCAATAGACTAAGTTTGGGTTGAAACCAATTTAAATTAAAACGAATTTGAACATATTGGATGGTCCAGACATTGAATTGGATTGGTCCAAAATTGTCCAAAATATTCATTGGATTGAATTAGGCCTGGTCCATTTGTAATGGATTCACACCGGGTTGGATCGGATTGGACCAAATCGAGTCCAATTGAGACCCCTATCTGTTGGAGGACAATACAGACCCTCCTTGGCAACTCATAACTTTGATTGTCAATTGCAAAGATATATCCATCATTTTCCCCACCGCTCAATTCAATGGATATTTAGATTGGGGAATAAGGTTGCACATCTTAATGCTAAGCATGCTCTATCTATTTCGAATGTGTACACTTGGTCATCTACTCCTTTGGTATGTTGCCAATAGTATTCTCAAAAACAAAAAAAAAGGTGGTTTGAACTGAATGAAATTTCCCATTGGCATGTTATTCTCCAAAAAAAAGTGGCATGTTACAATATGGTTTATGGATTTTCTTACATAAATTGTCTCACAAAACAAACACATAATAGCTATTATGAATTAATTAATAAGTTTTATTTTGCATTATTAACTATTTTTTAATTAATTAGTATTTTTATTTGGTTATTAACTGGTAATAAAATATTTATTTACTTATTCATTCTTAATTAATTATAAAAATTAGTCAATATTTCAATTTGTGTTAGTTTATATTTTACTATCACAGTTTTATTTTTTTAATACTTATGAATTAATTAATAAATTAATGTGCAACCATTTATTTTAATTTATTTATTAGACAATTTGAATTGAATTATTTTACTAATATGTTATTAAGTAATTAATAATTTATCAATGTCATGAGTCTAATGTTAACTCATAAAAGTATTTTTTCTATTATACAAATTCCCTTTCCTTTTCTACTTCGCAGAGATCAAATCAACCCCCACAACGTCTTACAGCACATCTCCGCTTTGTATTGGGAATATCTCCCGATGAAACGATGATGTCCTTCGCACACCAAATTGGTGGGTTTCTGTTGTTACATGCAAAACGAAACAATATTTGCGATGTTTTTCTCCTCCCATCCGAGTCGTAAATCGTACCTAAATAAGGATAAGCATTCAATCAAATTTTCGTGGTTTTCTGACTTGTGGTTAGTTTTTACGGTATCATATAAAGTTGCGAATTAAACCACAAATGTGATGCGACATCTGTCGCAGGCTGAATGGAGGTTGAAGTAAAAAAATAGTGCAGCTGCAGCAAATCCGGCCTCTCTGTGACAGTAACAGTGCAAAAAGTCAACAGGTTAAAGCTTGCTTCTTCAGTTTCTCCCCTCTGTCCCCAATTCGCCGTCAGTAGTGCAAGAAAGAGAAGAAGAAGAGATGTTATCAGCTCCTTTTGTTTCACTCCTACTCTTCATAATCTCGGCTACATCTACTTTAGCCACCGAGGTTCTTCAGACTGCCAACGCAAATGATGTCAAGAGCGTCTGTATAATCGGGAGCGGAATCGGAGGTTCATCCCTCGCCTACTTCCTCCGTCAATATTCCGCTGATCCTTCGTCTCCAACTGTCGGAGACATCCGAATGTTTGAACGGAATAGAGTCGTCGGAGGGAGAATGGCGATGGTCTCCATCGCCGGAGATACCTTCGAGGCCGGAGCTTCCATTCTGCATCCCAAGAACTTTCACACCTTAAACTTCACCAAACTCCTTAACCTGCGCATCAATGAACCGTCCTCCTCCTCGTTCTCTCTGGGCATTTGGGATGGTACGCGGTTCAACTTTAAAACCCTTGATACCAGTTCAGAGTTTCCTCTCTTCCAGAAGCTTGTGTCACTTGTCAATTCTTTCCGCATTATCTACCGATATGGCTTTTCGCTTTTCAAGATGGATAATTTCGTCAAGGTCCTCTCTCTCTCTCACTCTCTCTCTCTCTCTCTCTCTTATTTATATAAAGCATTCTTATTTAATGCAGAGTACAGTAGATAATTTCTTAAAGTATTACTCGGATTTTGGCTCTCGACCGGTTTTCGAGTCTGTGGAGAAGATGCTTAAATGGGCGGGTTTGTACGAGCTCACTTGTCGAACTTTGCAAGAGGAATTGGTTGATGCCGGACTATCGCCCTTGCTAATATCGGAACTTGTCACTGTAAATTCTCGAACTGTAATTATTGTTTTCAGGATTAGTTTATTGCTCTTAGGTGTCTCAACTCGTATACATGACTAGTCTTAGCTTTTGGAAGAGGAAATTTTGTGCTAGTCATCATACTAGTAGTTTAAGAAATCAAGCATATCGAACTTCATGGGAGCTTTGGCCTTCTTTATCATCCTGGGGCCTGGGCTAAGTATGAGTAAATACTTTACCCTCCTACAACGCGTCATGTTCAGTTATGTAGCTTGCTGTTTTCATAAAAGACAGTTGAGCCACTGATATTGAAAATCTAATGGCTGTCTCTCCAACGATTTTCTGCAAATGAAAGTTTGAGTTATTCCATTGAAGATACGAATGCTGGTTGATAATGATCCATTGAAGATGGGAATGTTAATTGATTATGATCTTGTGTATGTTCATAGTGCATGTAGTTACAACTTAAAAGTGCTGGAAATCCCTTAACTGAAATGTGCAGGTTTCAAATAGTCAGGCTTGCCCATACAAAGTTCTGAGACAAGAATCATGCTGATTTCAATCCAGCTATCTGAACCAATTAAGTACTTCACATTGACAATTTCAAGAATTTGGGGACTATTCAGTCTATTCATAAATTTTGGAAGACGCATTGATTACTTGACAGAATTGCATAAACATGTTGAGACAATGTGAATATATATAAAAGAGTGCTTGAATCAGTTAAAGGCTTAAAACACGGTTCAAAAATTGGAGCAGCAGGCAGCTGAAGGTGCATTGTTGTTGCTCCAATGGTTAACTCAGAACATAGGCAATGGTAGACTTTGGTGCTTCCTTCAAGCTTTAGTTTACTTTGGGCCTGTGGCACTGTCTTAGGTTGCATATTCTGTCATGCTCATTTGAATATTCCTGGCATTTGATACAGTTGTAAACAATTACTTTGATGATCTAGGGTGATTTTCCTAGGTTAATTAACCAAACAAGAAGTGGGTTTCCCAGATGGCTACTGCTATCATTTAGGATTTAAGCATCCATGCATCATTGATTTGATTACCATGGTTAACATGTTGAATGAACTTACAGAAAGTGCACTAATGTTTATTTGGGAATTAAGCAGCCCTAGATTTGTATTGAGTAGAGCCCAACTTTGTGCAGGAACTAAGAGGCAAGCCTATCACTGTGTTATTAGGAAACTGAGTTGATCAAAGTTTGTATATGTTTGTGAATTTAGGAGAAGCCAATTAATGTGCATACTGTATTATTGAGTAGAATTCAATTTTGACTTTGAGCACATCAGGAATTAGGAGTTTGTAGAACCATCTAGGGTGGACATATCTCAAAATGTCTTGTGGCCAGAGGATTGGGACCAGCTACTGATTGATTCCCATCTATGATATTTCATGCACCAGAAAACAGCATCCTCATACTGATAAAAAGAATCAGCTTTTAACCACCCCACACATTATTGTTTTTCATTGGTACCAGACTTGGCATTATATTTGGAGTTGTAATAATTATTTTTCTTTACCCATTGATAAGGCATCATTTTAAATGGCTCTCATCTGATTTTAAGAGCTTTGGCCAGGGTAATCTCATAGATGAGACCCATGTGGTGATAGGTAACAAACCTTTATACATGAGAGACAAGACCAGATATGAGTATCCTGTAACCCCCACCTCATGATTTTCCCTCTAGGAGTATCCAAAAATCTGAGTTATTTCTATTGATTATAAAGAACTTGTTAGAAAAAAGGAAGAAACAGGAGTTAGTCCTAATAGAAAGGTTGAACAAAGCTATATAAAGAACAAGATAGATGGACAAAACCCAAAATGGATCTCCCATATGTTTTTGACAAGACTTTTTAGTAGTCATTACATATTCATGCTAATAATGTCCTACTTTTCTTGTGGACTTCTATTTGCAGGTAATTACAAGAATCAACTACGGCCAAAGCGTTAGCATGAGTGGTCTTGCTGGGGCAGTAGCTTTGGCAGGATCTGGTGGAGGATTATGGTCAGTTGAAGGAGGCAACTGGCAAATTCCAGCTGGACTAATAAATCATTCAGATGTCACATTGCATCTTGACGAAGAGATAGACTCCATATCCTATTTAGGAGATTATTATAAGCTCAACTCTACTAAAGGAAACAGTTATACTTGTCAAGTTACTGTAGTTGCTACACCACTTGATGAGTTAAATATTTGGTTTTATCCTCCGGTTTCAATTCCTGAGAGGAAATTACAGCATACATATACAACTTTTGTGAGGGGACTCTTAAATCCTGTGAGTATTCTGTCTCGTTGCTTACTTCAATATATTTTTTTCTTAACTCATTTCTTTGTGTTCTTTTGTGAAGGCATATTTCGGCCTACATTCTGCATCAGAGATTCCTGAACTAGTGGGAACGACTGAGACTCCCAACCTTCCATTCTCTTGCATTGCTGTTCTGAAGAAATATACTGAAGTGGATATGGCTTACAAGTTATTCTCTCGTGAGCCAATGACAGATGAATTACTTGATCTTCTGTTCAGGTAATATTTCCTACTGTTATCCAATGCTATGTTTTAAAAAGCAGAGAAATGGGTGGGTTGTCATATGCTCAAGATACTATTTATCTTTTGTGTATCTTAAGGTAGTTTATAAATGGCATGTCTGATCCTTACCAAACTTTTCTTTTATTAACAATTTAGAGGAGCATTGCACGTACTCCAGAGATGGTTAGAATGCCTGCAGATTTTTTTTTTTTTTTTAATCTAGGAAAAGCATTCTATATTGGAATAGCCATGCAACACATGCACTAGAGTGCCATCTACATACAGACTGATCTTTACAACTTAGGGTCCATTTAGTTTATATTAAGAATCGAAATCAAAATCTCTTGGAATTGGAATCAGAATGGTCTATTCCCATAGTCTGTTTGGTTCGGACAGGACTCGGAATGGGAGGGGGAGGGAATGGCCATTCCCTCAAATGGGAGAATGCTATTCCGCCAGGAATGGAAATGGAATTCCAATTCCGTCTAACCAAACAGTTGGAATCAGAATGGTGATTCCAGACCCTATTCCTGTAAACCAAACGGTCCCTTGGAAGTTAGAATTCAAACCATGGTTAGATGCTGACTATTGTTTATGATCCCATTGCAGTGTGAGGAAAGAAACACTCCGGATAGATTGGGGTGCATACCCTCATTATACATCTCCAGAGGTTTTCGCACCATTTGTCTTGGATGGGCTTCATCTGTACTACATTAATGCCTTCGAGAATGCAGCTAGCACCATGGAGACCAGTGCTGTTGCAGCTGAAAACATTGCTCGACTTATCTTGTCAAAGTTTTCTGGGCAGCCACCATCAAGTTCATCAGATCTTAAGGGTTCTACTTCTGTGGCTTCTGCCTCTGATGAAGAGGGTAGACATTTTGAATTGTGAACCTCTGTTTACTTAATTGTGTGTTAGGTACAGAAGCTTTTCCTGTATAAATAGTTACAGATTAGCTACATCATCTCTTCGAGTGGCAGTAGGGTAGGTCAGCTGATCCGGACTCCAGATCAACTAGATAAAAAGCTTAAAGCCACCAAATTAGGGAGGGGCAGCTATTGGGTCACACTTAGGTGGGAGAGACGACTAGGAATGACAATTTCCACCGTACCCAGTGGGAACCCACCCCCGACAGGGTGGTTTTTTTCCTTTTTATTTTTTATTTTTTGCTTAAAGGACAGGTTTTGTGGTGGGGAGGGGTTTTTGGATTCTACAACACATACGGTATGGTATTAGGCTAAATCCGACCCACATATTGTTGGAAAGCATATAAGCTTTATGTATAGGTGTTGAATTTAATAATATTTTGAATTTTATGTGAAGGAAAGAAGGACCATTGATAGTTAGTGTTATTTACATGCATTAATCAAATAATTGGAAATTTTGTTGTTTGTGTTATTTTACTTGCTTAGTGCTTATATATAACAACAAATAATAGGAAATTAGATGTGGGTTCTAAACCTATTCCACCTACCCTTGAATGTGGGGAGGATAGGGTTAGGGAGGGTTTTGCATTTTCATATGCAAAGAGGGTTGGGATCATTGTTTTGTAAACCGGACTGGACCAGATGAGTGGACCATTTGACCCGAAAAATGGTCATATCTCTGGGTTCAATTTTCAAGTGGACCACTTTTTTGGAAAAAAAAAACGTTGAATTAGTTAGAAAACCACTGATCCAGGTGGTCGAACTGCTAAACCGTTCGATTCGGGCACTGCTTTACCATTTAATAAAAAAATTATTTAATTTTTTAAGGGAGTGTTAATAGAGAGGGAGAGAGATCTGCGAGATGTGAGACGAGATCTGCAGTTGCTGCTGTTCTTTGTTACCACCACCGTCATCATCGCCAGTAAACCACCTCCTCATCCTCATTGTTCTCCTTCTTTACTTTCTTTCTTTTCCCAACCAACAGCCACCTACTTCTCTCTTTTCTCATAAAAAGAGTAACTGTTCAACCTAGACACTTGAACCGCTAATCCAAAAACTGATGGTCAAAGCAGTTCTATTTCTGAATTGATTTTTAAAACCTAGGTTTGGATTCTCAAGATTCAACCTACTACAGGTTTTGGGGTGGGTACATGTTGGAAAGTTTAGGGAGGCAGGTAGGGTCTAAAATTTACAAAATCCTCTCCAAACCCTTCCCATTGCCATCCCTACATATGATTCGCACCATAGCAGCTACCAAATTCATTGACATATGACAGATAATAACTGCTCATATTAAATCCCATTCCCTGAATAGACCACATATAAAATTGGGACCCAATTACATCAATACATCATCCAAAACTTGTTAAGTTTAACTTTGCAACATTTCAACAGATGGAATATTTGACTTCAACTTTCAGGCCAACAGTTCAATTTCCCATGGTCATTCCTCATGGCTACGTTGGACCATGGGAGACTCCTGCAACGGATGCATTCATTTTCCATAAATCCTTTTGGGGAAAAATGATAGTCAACGCACCCCTAGAGTTGTCAATGGACTGGCTAATGGTCCAATTCGATCTGGTCCAATATGAGTCCATTATAAATGACCAGGTCCGATCTGATCTGATGAATACCGTGGACCATTCTGGATTGGCCCAATTCAATGACTGTCCAAACTGTTCAAATTGGCTTTAGTTTAAATTGGGTCCAATCCAAACCTGTTCCATCAACATCCGTACTCTTTATCTTATGTTAATGAACCAAACATTGGTTCAATTCAACCCAATCTAACATAAATCCATTATAAGAATCAGGTCCAATCCAATAAATACTTTAGACCATTAAGTCTAGACTGGTCCAATTTAATGTCTTATTGATTGACACCCACGGACGAGTTCCAACCCAAACCACATCCATTGACGCCCACAGATGAGTCCGGATCTTGCCTTGTGCCTAGTGTTTGTATTTCCTCGCCTTATATAACCTGCTAGACCTCATGTAAAAATTGAAAAGAAAAGTTTTCACCGTGGAATTCCTCTACGACTCCACGTTGTAGAGCACTAGTTCATCGTCTAAAATGCAGCCATTCCAGTCGATGATAAAAGAGTGGCATCGTAAAAGATTTTCTCGCAAATGAACAAACCCCGCAATTTTTGTCAACCAGAAATGACTAGATTTCAAATGAAAGTATGTGGATTCAATTTTCAGACAAATTTAAGTGAAATGATTCCATTTTAGTTGAGATCCTAACCAGACATGTATGAAGGTAACAGCACAGGACCTTGAAGCTTGACAACCATCTAAAAATTATTAAGAAAAACATAATATGGAACCAATTGCTTTTGCTCATTTGAATGGATGAAGCATTATGACCATTAATGGTGAAAAAAATATGCTTTTACAAATGTGAAATGGGAGTGAAACTGAACCAAAACCAGACCAAACGGAAGGCACATGACATACTGCATAAATGAAGCGAGGACTTGATAAATTATAAAACAAAATATACAGACTAAGAATTGATTCCCGAGTAAGGAAGGGATATGAATCAATACAACTAAAAGTTCTGCAATAGTATGGTACATCCATGATCAAACTGCGCCGGAGGGCAAATCTTTCAGTCAACATGCAGCAATAACCAATTCTAAATTTGTTCGTCCATCAAGCAGGTAAAGGTTCCTCCAAGACTGTAAGCAAAAGAATCAAAGTCAATTTAATTAAGCTCTGCAAAAGTAGAGAGAGAGAGAGAGAGAGAACCTTTTCTTCTTGTGGATATCCCTACTGAAGCACTCTCACTACCATCCTCAACCACCTCAGGAACAACAGGAGCCTTTGTTGGCACATCTGGAAGCACCAATTCCTCATCAATGTCATTGTCCTCAACTGTCTTAGGTTTAGCTATTTCTGGCTTCTTTGCCTGAATTGTTTCTTCAGAAGCAAGAACTTTTGGAAGATCCTGAACAGTGAGCTGGACAATTGGGGAAAAACAAAGAAATTGCATCTTCAAATAAGCAACACAGATAGGTATTGTGAACTACAAAAATGCATCAACATTTTAATCTAGAAACTGCGAGTGTTAAAAAGAAGCATATACCCCTTTAGCTACTACATAAGAATAACAAAGTATGAGTTAAGCAGGGTGAGAACATTTTCTACAACAAGCTAAATTCAGCTTCTAGAAATATCAAAATATTGCAACTAAAAAGGAAAAATAAGCATGCTATCAAGTCCACTGAAGACAAATATGCATTTATTCATTTATACTCTTGATTATAGTGGTTTGTTCCAAATGCATTAGAAAGTCTTGCCAAGGCAATCATATGCTCGCATATAATAAATGCAATTGATATTGCATGATGCAATTGAAAAAAGAGAAAAAAAAAAACAGCTCTATGTTGAGGTAGAGGTAAAAATATAGAAAATAAAGTGGAGAAGAAAGAAGTGAATGACAACTCGAATGTCTTTTCAATCAGAAAGTAATTTAAAAAAGGTTGCCATCCATAAAATGATCTGGTATCCTGTAGCTAAAGTAGTTCGAACCAAGAGAAGAAGAAGAACAGTCGAATCTGATAGCCTAAACCCTATCAGTCGACCCTAATATGGACTAGCCTCTAATTAGTAGTACAAAGACTAAACTGCCCCCACTTAAGTATGGGACAGGAAGTCTCTATTAAAACTGCCACATAAGCACATAACTTAA